CCAAGGGGGGGTGGGAGGAGGAAGAGGAGGGGGCGGATGAAGACGTCTGGTTCTAGCTAAGACAGGGATGACATGCGTTGAAAGCCCCGGCGCCCGGGTCTTCCCTTCTGCTGGCCTCGGTTCCTCCCTCGAGGGATTGGGACCCCAGCGAGCATTTGCAGGGACTGGAGTACGATTAGGGAGGCGGGGTTATAATGTGGGGGTTCGTCCCTACCCCCCATCACCTCCCTCCCCCTGACTCCCCACCAAGATTTTGCAGAGAGAAATGGCTTTTGTACCAGGTCATTCTTTATAATTAAACTCACAGTATCCACCCCCTCGAGCCGGCCCCGCCTCCTTCCTGGGGAGGCAACGCCCCCTTTCCTCCGGGGTTTGGCTTGGGACGCCCAGGCCCGCGGGGCGGTGTGCAGCTGGGGCCCGCCCTGCGCGTCAGTCTTCCTCCGTAGGCTCCGCCCCCAGAGCCTGGAGCATGTGCCGCCGGACCAGGGCGCGGCGCAGGTGCAGGCGGTAGTCGCCCAGCAGCAGCTCGTCGTGGCGCACCAGCGAGTGAGCAATCCCTCTCGGGCTGATGCCTGAGTGCAGCAGGCGCGAGCGCGTCTGGAAGTCCGTGACCGTGATGAGCCACCTGCGGGGGCGGGGCCGAGGGAAAGGGGCGGGGCGAACACCAAAGGGGAACTTGCTCCGCAGCCCTCTGTCCCTCGCTTGGTCCCTGTTCGTTTACTGACTGTAGCCACTCCGTCCCTGAGGTCCTCTCCTGCCGAGGTCAGTCCGTGCCCTGACCCTCATCAGGCTCGGTCCTCTCGGCCTGGCTCTGCCCCCTAATCACAGGCTTCCCCTTCTCAAACCGCCGCCCCCGGACCTGCCACTCCTGTCTTCAATCCAGTGCCCCTTCATAGCCGCTTCTCCAGGCTCGGACTCCACATCAAGGCCTTGCCTTGGCCTTGGTCTTGTCACTGCCTGATTAACTCAAAGTCGGGTTCCCCGCTGCGCCCAGCTCCCGCCGTCTCTCAGCTCTCTCCCGGCCCCGCCTCGGCGCCCTGTCTCCGCCCTGCTCTTTCCAGGTCTCCCAGCCCTTACTCCGACCCCGCCCCCAGCTCCTCGCCCCGCCCTCCACGCTCCCAGCCCCGCCTCCACGCGGGCTTACCGGTCCCGGCGGCCCGCGGTTCCACATATGACGTTCACGTTCTCAAAGCGGATGCTGCTCACGCACCCGCTCTCCATGGCCCCGGGCAACTCGGCCTCAAGCGCCTCCAGCACCTCCAGGTGGGTAAAATCCTCCTGGGGGAGTCGAAGAGCTTCAGTCCTTGATGACCTGGTCCCACCCTTCGGTCCTAGTTAGAAAGCCACCACCCTAGACGCCCTGCAGAACCTGGTCCCAGGTGGCGTTTGAGGAGCGGGGATCGCACTTGATCCCAGGGTCCTATTGCTTTTGTCAATCGGGAGTAGGGGACGATAGGTATCTTTCAGCGTCAACTGTCATTCGAGGTCATTCTCCAGAGACTCAGTTCTCGCCAAGCCAATGAACAGTTGCCTGAATGATTCCCAGTGTGGCCAACTTCAGCAGTCTACCAAAAACTTTTCCATCAATGCGATGTGTGGTACTCTAAGCTCCTGAAGATTTCTGCCAGGATTTAAATTGTAACTTTTCCTTTTAAAGCCATATTTGCATTTTAAAGATGTTCAGTTATCAAAACACAAGGGTCGTGGCGTTTTGACGTCTTATTAATCTATTTAACATTCAGAAGAATCTGTTGATCACCAGTCACGTTTTCAGTATGAGACTGCAATTTCAAAAGCGATTCAGAGTTGTTAAAGCATATACCGTTACTGAGGAGCTAAGTGAAAACGTATTCTCACCTCCAGAGAGGCAAGGCTTAGGTGGGGAGGAGCAGGAGCTGAAGGGTCCCTTCCTCAAAACTCCACAGGAGGGGAGTGATGGGATGGGAGTTGGTCCCTAAAAGGAGAACAATCCCTGTGTTGGTACCAAGGCACACAAATTAGAGACACCTCAGAGGCCGGGGCCTGGTGCACCTTAAGTTCCCATTAATGTCAGCTCTTCTCGCTGCAGTATCAGGTGCCTGGAACCTGCACATTACCTACTCTAAGAGCAGGGATTGCCCAGGGGTCCCGATGACCTGTTTGCTGAATCTGTCAAAAGCCTGAGTAGTTCCTTATGAGTTTTTGTTAGACTTAAAACTTTACAGAATTTTCTAGCCTATGGAATGCAGGACCCCTTTGTCCTCAGTATTCCCCCAAACCTCTCAGACCCCTCTGGGATGAGCAGTGATAAATTGAATGACTAATCCTTTGACAAGTTCGCAATCAATTTTCAACAAACTGTCCCAGTGCCAAAGCCACAGCCGGTAAGCCACAGAGCCTGAATTAAAACCCTGGCCACCTCAATCCTGAGTCTGTGCCCTTTCAGCCCCACCACCCAAGCTGCAGAAACTAAGGCCCTGGGCCACAAAGGTCAGGAGTCACTCACGGAGGTCTCCATGCAGAGGCAGAGGGGCTGGGCAGCAGGTGGCATGGAGAACTTCCGAATGCATGGGAGCTCTCTGTCCAGTGCCTCATATTCTGCAATGACCTGCCGCAGGTACTGCTTCCTGGGGAAAGAGTGACAGGCAGGGACATCTGAGGTCAGGGGTCATTGCTGTCACATCTGTGGGAGCTGAGATCAGATGTCATGGGGCCAGAGGCCACTCACGAGGATTTGATGGGCCTGCCCTGGATCCGGGCCTGTGTGTCTTCTGGGATCTCCAGGTTCACAAGGAGGGCTCCTGTGGACAGAGAATGCAGTGTCACTGCCCTGAGCCCTCCTCAGTCATGATTCGGTTTAACTGGGGATCACTCAGTGCTATCTACACCACCCAGGATAGCTCCTAGGTCAGTGCTGTGCTGCTGTCCCTCAGTTCCCAACTCAGCCGGGTTTGAAATGCTGGGACTGGACCCCACTGATCACCTCTCAGTGCTTTGACACCTGGTTCCCATCAGGCTCTGCCTGAAGGGGGCGCCAGAGGGAGGTTGGAGGGAGACCCATTTGGAAGGGCCTTGCTCCTTTCTGTGACCTCTTCGGGTGGCCCTGCCTGGCTTCTCAGGGCAGCAGCATCACTTGGCTCCAGGAGCAACATCTGCATCTAGTTTGCTGTTTTTCCAACCTTTCAGAACCAGCCTCCTCCTCTGGCCCCTTCTCGACTACCGGCTGTGGGTTAGCCGCTCTCTGGCTTACTCCTGGCTGCCCACATGATCTAGCTCCTCTTCCCGGAGAGGTCTCCAGCACACAGCTGCCCAGCCTCCCTGGCAGTGACCAAGCTCTCGCCCACAGAGTGCCAGCAGAGCCAAGGGTGAGATTCTATGGTCATTTCCTTAAAAGAGATTGCTTGCCTTGGGTTTTTCCCCTTTCCTTGGGCTGGAATGTGGGCGTAGCAGTAACCCAGCTTGCTCCACGCCAGGCTGTGCTGAGCACCAATATGGAAGAGCCTGGGGCTCTGAATGATCTCGTGGACCCCAGGTGCCCCCGTTACATGAGCTCACGAGAGAAGTAGACTTCTGACAACTTCATGCTATTTTGTTTTGGGGTCTCTTTGTTAGAGCAGCTGAAGAGAGAAAAGCAGCCCCTAACAGCCAGGAACTGTTGTGCTCAGAGCCAAGCCCTGGTGCGCTCC